GATCCATCAAAAGTGCACCAGAGCAACCGGTGCACGCCACTATTCACTTTTTATGCGTTTTTATGCGTTTTTTGCGGCTATGCAATGCAAAAACAACATTGTCAAGGGGTTGTCTGCGTGTATGTATGTATGTATGTGTGTGTGTCTGTGTGTTCGTCTCTAACGAGGCTGAAAATTTGGTGACTTAATCTACACACACGTGCGGGCTCAAATCATCAATATGGACGCTCAGGTCCACGTGGTTCTCGCGTAGGGGCAAGTGAAAGTTTTTTTGGCGGGAAAGCGTTTTCAGGAACGGCTCATGCTAGGAGGCTGGAACTTCACAGAGATGTTCCTTGGCCGTGTCTAATCCAAAGATTTCAAATTCAGCCTTCACACACCCCTAGGTCTCACGTGCGTACACGTCAAAGTTTAAGCTGGCATCATGCCAACTCCAGATTTAAGCTGATCAATAAGCTGCACAGAGCTGCAATTTTGCAGCTTTACTTGTCGCTTACTGTTGTGTCCGTGAAAGTAAACTACTTCTTACCTACGAACACGTGTACACACGTGAAATTTGACGTAACTCTGCAACAAGAGCAGCTGGAGCGCTGAGAATTTCTGAGCGCTACCCAGGACAGTGTTTGACAACCGCGCGCGAAAAGCACTCACGTGCGAGCACGTGAAATTTGACGTAACTCTGCAACCAGAGCAGCTGGAATGCTAAAAGTTTCTGAGCTTTACCCAGGGCCATGCTTGAGTAATCGCAAGCGAAAAAAGCATTCGACTTGCTATTCACGTACGAACACGTGAAATTTGACGTAACTCTGCAACCAGAGCAGCTAAAGTGCTGAAACTTTCTGAGCGCTACCCAGGACCATCTTTAAGTAACCCCAAGCGAAGAAAACACTCACGTCGCTACTCACGTACGAACATGAGGAATTTGGCGTAACTCCGCAACCGAAGCATCCAGAGCGCTGAATTTTTTGGGCATGGATTGGGAGTCAATGTAATAATTTTTAACAGTCATGGTGGCCAGTCACAATTCTTTTAGCTACAAGCATTTGCCGGGAAGAGCGTGCCACTGGCGAAAAAAATCTGCGGGGGAACTATGCAAAAAACGCATCTTCGTACCGGCAGCCGGTACGCTTTCGACTAAGTTGCATATATGCAAGTACAAAAATGTATACTGGCAAGAGACTGTCTGTGCATGTGTCCATGAATTTTTCAATGCGAAATGTTGTCTGATTCTTAATTTGCAAAATTTCTTACTAGAAGTTTCATGCGGTGATCCAAGGTTTCAAAGCTTTCACGTGCCAGCACTTGAAAGCTTTGAAACCTTGGACGGGTAACACCTTTCTAAGTTTCAATCTCCCATTTTTCCGGCTTCTGAGATAGTGACTTTCATACCAAAACCTTCGCATGGCCTTACTTATGAGCTCGGCATACTTGGGAGCTAAATTTGAGTTTGTGAGGTATCCGCACAGGCAGAAAAAAACTTTCCTGAAATTCTCATAGCTCTTCTGGCTCCCAAGACAATTTTCCTCATGAAAAATATCGCGGGGCTGCACGAGAGATCCGGGCAAAAATGAAGTTGAATTTGATTTTGCGAGGTCGCCACTCTCCAAAATTTCGGCTTCCTATCTTTTATGGCTTTCGAGATAGTAATTTTTTTCGACAAAACTTTCACGGGGCCGTACGTGATACCCAAGCGTGAATTTATATTTTTTGATTCACACGTGAGACGGGACATACCCAAAAAATTTTATGTTCCTAGCTTCCTTGGTTCCCGAGATAATAATTTTCCCCGCCGAAGCTTTCACAA